GCCCACTGTGTGACCTTGAGTTACAACTGGGTGACCTTGGGCGTGTCACTTTATTTCTGGGAGCCTCACCTCATCTGTGAAATGTGGGTAGTAATACCTGACTAGCACTGTAGTTATATTCAAAGCTTTGGTTGAAGTAGGTCTTCCATGAATAACTGAGTTATTTTTACCCTACAAAGCCTGACTTCTTGAGACTCTGGCCCTTTCCCTTCACTTCTCACCTCACTCGTTCTGTGTGGTGTGCTCAGCACAGTATCTGCCCAATCAGTAGTTGATAATGTAAAGACAGTTTTCCTTCTTGACCACAGATCTCAGGGGACAAACTAGAGTAGGTGGGCCACAAGGTCACAAGTCAAGTGTATTCAGTGCTTATGCGCTAGACCAGGTGCTGAGAATACAAGATGAAAAAGACGGCTGTGGTTCTTGCCCTCAGTTTACCTTCCATTTCTCACTTACCTTTGTTCTTTTGGCATCTGATATATAGTAAATGCTCAATAAAGCTTTGAAGAAGTTAAGGGGGGATGGGAAGGAGGAAAAGTGGGGAGGAGAGGAGAAGAGAAAAGATCCCCCCCCCCCCTTGGTGACAGGAAGTGGCTGGAGGCACAGGAAAAGCTCCTGGAGGAGAATTTGGCATTCAGTGAGGGCAGGGCTGGTTAGGGAGCCCTGGAGAGAGGGGCGATTCCAGAGTGGTGGGACTTTGATGACATGGGACAGGTGACATAAGTGAATGGCTGCTGAGCACCTGGAGAGAAGCGGGTCAGATTTTGGAGAAGCTTGTCGGGTGCTGTCTGGCGGGTAGGAGAGAGCCATTAGACTTTCCACCCCTTGGAAAGGGAGAGAGTGCATGAGGAAAGTGGTGGTTTAGGGAGAAGACTCACGGTTGGACCTAAAAGCATTCACAGGCTGTCGAAAGAACCCAGGCAGAGGTGGGGAGGGCCCAGGCTTTGGGTTGCAGCCGTAGGAATGGAGAGGAAAGGGTGGGCCTGGGAGATGCTGTGGAAGAGGGGCTGGGCCACACTTGGTGATGGGGACAGATTAAAAATGAAGCAGGAAAGGGAGGTCACACTGACTGCCAGGCTTCACAGCAGGAGAATGTCAGTGGGCACAATGGGAAACTGAGGCAGAAAACTTGGGATGGGTGGCACAAGGTGTGCTGGTGGGTGCAGCATATACTCTGCGCCCAGAGCAGAGTTGTCTGGGTGTGGTGGGCGCACAGATGTTCGCTCCTGGAAGGAAGGACCATGTCGTATCCATCTGTTTCCCACAAGGCAGTGAATTGCCTGCCTAGTAGCAGGTCGCAATAAATGTGTGTTGAATCACAAATGTTCTCAAGGAGCTTCCTGTCTACTTACCATAACGCCCAGAATGTTCTAGAAAAGATCCCGGGCTCACTCACAATTCACTTCCTGGGAGCTGGAAAGACAGGGAAAAGAAACCAGCTGTGAGGGAACGAGTGAAGAGCATTTTTTGGCCTGGAAACTACACCCATGGATGCACACTGTGTTCCTAGGGGCTTTGAAGCCTGGAAGAGAAAACTCAAGGTACATCCTATGGGTGAAAAGACAGTGCACCCCATCCCTCCACCTCCCCTCCACCCACAGCACTGTGATTTTTTTCTACTCTAGATAGTGACACTCAGCTTATGATTCTATTTAAAAAAACATCTCACTGATTTGAAAGAAAAAGTATTTCTCATGGCATGTATTTAATGCACAGAAATTAAAATTAGATTGAAAAAGAAAATTGTCAGAGCACCAATCATCCCCTCCCAAAAAATAATGGGTAAATACTGTTCTTTTGGGTGGTTTTGTTGAGACTGTCCAGTATATCTATCTCCGTGCCCCCACCCCACCCCAAGAGATGTTCTTTCCATAGAAAAGCCGAAGGGATCCAAACAGACCCAATGTGGGAGCTGAAAGCTCTCTGAAGCCTGCTGAGATGTTCTAGAAAGCTCTCTGAAGCCTGCTGGGGATGGATCAGACCGTCCTCCGCCCAGGCCCTCCCCTACTCTTCACTGTCCCTTCAGCTCTCTGTGTGCTCAGGGCTTATTGGGGGGATCTCGTGACTGCCCCAATCCATGGCTCTGAGACAGCATCCAAAGTGAGCTAGTGAGCACTCCGCGTCCTCCTCCATGGCAAGTCTCGGCTTTCCCTGCACCAATCAGGGCTCACCACCCCCCACCCCCCGCCGCCACCCACAGCCCCCTCGGGATGCCCCCTTACCTCAACTGTCTGTTATCCTCACCTTCACCTGAGGAAGCGGGACGGGGAGGTGGGACCCCCGCAGGGTCCTCACCACTTGCTTGGGGCCTTCTCATTACAGTCCCTCCGCCCCCAGCTGACAACCTGATAATTCTCTCTGATAACACAATCTCTGGCAGCCATGGCAGCTGTCTTGACACTGTCCTTCTTGCAAGAAAGATTTTGAGATAGGGCGCCTGGGTGGCTCAGTCGTTAAGCGTCTGCCTTCGGCTCAGGTCATGGTCCCAGGGTCCTGGGATTGAGCCCCGCATCGGGTTCCCTGCTCCGCGGGAAGCCTGCTTCTCCCTCTCCTTCTCCCCGTACTTGTGTTCCCTCTCTCGCTGTATCTCTCTCTGTCAAATAAATAAAATCCTTAAAAAAAAAGAAAGATTTTGAGATATAAGAAGGAGCTGTGAAATCATCACTGAGCGGGGAGAAAAGAGCCTCAGAAAGGAGTGCCCCCCTACAGCCTTCCCCCTCCTCCCCTCCTCCCTTTCCTCCTCCTTCCCTGCCCTCTTTCCCTTCTGGGCCCCTTCTTCAGGCCTCTCCAGCTCCCTCCCATCTCCCTGACCCTCCTCACGTCACACCTTCCTTGGGCTCTTTCTCCAGGCCCCCCCACTTCTCCTTTCCCTTCTCTCTTCTCTTCCTCCTTCTCTCTCTCTTGTTTTGGTGCCCGAAACAGTCTAATTACAACAGAGAACTTGAAGAGACTGAGAGGAAAAAAAATAAATAAACCCACCACACATAGCTGATTAAAATGTCCTATGAAATCTAATTTGTAAAGCTCAAATCAGAATAAAAAGTGTTACTCCCACAATTCAGGGCCAATTTGATTTTTAATGAGACTCCTCAGAGACCCAGCCAAGATCTCATCAGGTTGCAACCGGCTACCTTCCCACCTGCCACAAGCTCTCTGAGGCGGACCTCCACGGCTGCCCTTGGGGAGCCCCACCGCCGGCTCCACCCCTCTGGCCCGCTTCCCTCTGCTTCTTTACATGTGTATCACTCCCTTCTTCGGGCCACCTGCTGCTGAGAGCATTGGCCTTAGCAGTGGTCCAAGCCTGGGGCGTTGTGTCCCCACGATGGGCAATAGCTAGGGTCCAGGGCCTCCGTGGCCATCTCCAACTCTCCCATGTCGGGGAGAAGAGGCTGAGACAGCAGCCCATCCACCGGGTCCTTTCCTGAGCTGTGTGTCTCTATCTGCTGGGCAGGGCTTGGGAAAGAATGCGGGCTTGGAAGTCACAGGGACCCCCCCCCCCTCCCAGTCAGACCCTGGCTCCACCACTCATTAGCTGTGTGATCTTGAGTAGGTTATTTTGCCTCTCTGATTCTGTTTTCCCTGCTGTAACATCGGGCTATTTCTGCCCTGACATGTAATTAAACAGCTTACAGAAGGGAGGGCACGTGAAATGCAGCTTGCTGTGGGCCAGGGGCTCCATAAATGTCAATGTCCTCTTGTCCATGCATCTGTGGCCCCCCAGGGAACACGGATCACATCAGCCCGCTTCCTCAGCTTTCCTTCCAGGACCGGCTTAGGGATCTGGGCACAGCGCAACTCAGTAGGTGAAAATACAGTCTTTAGAGCAGGAAACTCTATATTTATAGCCTTTGTCCTGCCACCAGACACTTCTGGATAATTTAGTTAACATCCAGGCCCCTGCAAACTGGGCTTGGTAAGGTCTAAGCGTTATGGCGACTGTAAAAAGCTAAAGGTAATGCATACTCAGTACTTGTTCGGTCATGACCAAGCCCAGCTCCTGTTAGTATTTGCCACTTCCTTGGGCCCCATTTCCTCCTCCAGAAAATGGGGGTCAAAATCGTACCTACCAGGGGGCGCCTGGGTGGCTCAGTCGTTAAGCGTCTGCCTTCGGCTCAGGTCATGATCCCAGGGTCCTGGGATCGAGTCCCACATCGGGCTCCCTGCTCGGCGGGAAGCCTGCTTCTCCCTCTCCCACTCCCCCTGCTTGTGTTCCCTCTCTCACTGTGTATCTCTCTGTCAAATAAATAATCTTTAAAAAAAAAAAAATCGTACCTACCTCATAGGTTGTTATGAGGGTGAAAAGGTTAATGAGCTAATATTTTAAAATCTTAGAACAGCGGTTGGGGCGTGGTACACACTGTGGGTGTGTCCGGGTCACAGCTCCTGAGCTGGCTGGCTTGGATGGCTTGGTGCCGTCTTGCTCCCAGGGGTGCATGGGAGAGCTTGGGGTCACGCCCATGACCTTCTCCCGGGTGATAGGGAAGCCGGAGCTGGGGCTGCCACCGGAAAGAAAGGGACAAAGCGGGGACTCCTGCACGCGCTGTGTCACGTTGTAGCAGCCTGGGAACCACCGAAACAATAATGTTTTCCCTGGATTCTCCGGTTTTTGACCAAACCGCACCACCTCTGCCCTGTTGTGGGAGGAGGCGCAAGCCAGCGGCAGCAAGTAAGAGTTAGCCCAATGGAAAGTGGCAGAGCTCGTCCCAAGGGCGGTGCGCACGGCCTCTGGGGGCTGGAGGAGGCCGGATCACAGTGTGAGGTGTGGTAAGGACTGACGAGCGGGGGCGGCTGAGCAGCCAAGCAGCTGCTAAGAGCTGGGACTTAAGCTGGGGGCACGTAGGAAGCTGCTGCTGGGCCCCAGGCAGGAAGTAAGATGCAGGGGCGGAGGGGTGGGGGGCTTCTCCCCTGGGTCAGTGTCTGCTCTGCTGCTTAACGTGAGGAGAAGCCTCCAGGCGCTGCTACCTGCAAGTAACTGACCGCTGTGCTTGTCTCCTTCCTAGGCCAAGTGTACTCCTTCAGCCAACAACCCCAGGACCAGGCCGTGGTGTCGGGCCAGCCCGTGACACTGCTATGTGCCATCCCTGAATACGACGGCTTCGTCCTGTGGATCAAAGACGGCTTGGCTCTGGGAGTGGGCAGGGACCTCTCAAGTGAGTACCCCCAGACCTCCCCGGGAAGGCCTGGAACGCGTCCCTGCCTGACCCAGCCGCCCTCCTAGGGAACCCCATCTTCATGGGCATTTGGAGATTAAATCTCCAGGTTTCACTGTGCATCCGCCCCCTCCTCCCCCCCTTCCCCCCCTCGCCACCGAGCAGAGTCAGGATAGGCAAGCTCTGGGTCCAGGATCCATAGGACTTTGAGAGCCCTTCTGACTACCAGTAATGAATTAGACGTAAACCCTCAATTCTGGCGGTCAAACCCGAACAGTGTGGCCCTGGAGGATCTCTCCGAAAGTCAAACACAATTCAGGTAGAGTCAGATTCCTCGAAGTAACGTGTTCCTGTTTCTTGGTCCAAAATGTATCCCCCACTTAAGTGACCACCTGGTTTTTCCCGGGCTGTCATCCATTAAAGGGAGTCAAAGAAATTGAAAACTCACAAAGGAACCCAGTTGCTTTTAGGGGTTACCATGTGATGGGAAGAAAAGAAAAGGAACGTTTAAAGTGTAAACCTCATTGAGCCCACCCAGGCTGGTACTGAGCAAGGATGTCCCGGTAGGCTCCTGTCCCTGGCAGCTGAGTTCCCTCCGATTGGTGTGATGCCCTATCATCTGTTAACCGTCGTGAATGTCAACCCTTAACTCACATAGATGTCTTTCCAATCCATCCTCTCCCCCGGTGGGGGGAAAAGAATAGAATCATCCTCCTGGTCACTTACCTATCAGCAATTACTATTCTCTCCTGGGGAGGTAGGCATGTGACAGCTTGTGAGGCTTAGCATAACCTGGAAAATTCGGAACAAGGGATCTGGGGGTGTCCCTGCCATTGGGGAACGGCTGAGGGTGCAGGAGGAGAAAAAAAATATATGTATTCAACTGAGAAGTAGCTTTGCTTCTCTCGTGGTGTACAGCTGCAGGAAAATAAAAATCGAAGTGCACTCAGGAACCTGATGGTTGGGAAATTAATATTTTAAAATGTGAGTTACGTCTTGCCAAAAATGTATATTGAAACATTATAGCCATGGTCAATAGCATCACCGGGTTTGGGTGCTACAGCCCAGCTGAGCAGGGATAAAATACACAATACTATCTCCAAAATATACTGTGCTGCCATAAAATTTAAGTATTATGGGAACCAGCCAATTTCAGGGGCTCTGAACTTCCTTACCTGAGAGAAACTGGGGGAATGATCTCACCTTCCCAAACCAGAATCACTCATGGTCTGCGCGGCTCTCAGCTTGGACCAGCATCTTTGCTAGCTAAGGAGGTGCTCTGGGTTCCTGGTCAGTGGTTTGCAGCCTCCGGTCAAGGACTGGGGTCTTTTTGGGTTGGTGGCCAAGAGGAAGCTCAAGGTCCACCCCGGATGTTCATCACTACATGGATAACTGACCTTCTGGCATCCAATTCCATGAATGGCTCTCTGGGATCAGGAGTGGGTCCCACTAAGTGCTGAGTGACGAAGGGTTCTGATGAACTGGGGTCTCTTTGCTCTCTGACTTGACTCGATTTATACAAAGAAGGTTGTCCATCTCCTTGCATAGCCGCTAAATTCAAAGTCCTGGTAAAGCATTTTCTGTATTTGATCACTGATCCCCAAAAAAGCATCCTGACAATAATGACAGAAACTCACATGCTCAATAAATACCGTTTGCTTACCTGACAAGAAAGAGAGAGGAATAGATCTCGATTTCATTCAGCAAGTATTCACAGAGCATTCAATAATGGCACAAGTCCCCCTGTGGGGAAACTGAGGCCCAGAATTGTGAGACTTCAACCTGCCACAGCTCCATCCTCTTCTGTTTTTTCATTTCATCCTTTTCTGTGTGGCCCGGCTCAGTGGACCAGGAATCACTCCCTCACTGAAGACCTAACTGTCTTTCTGGTCACCAAGGCTGAAAATCATTTCAAAGGAAATGATTTATAAATGCATGCCCTCATATTGATAGAACATTCTTCTTCTAAGAAGCTCAAGTGATTCTCAGACATTATGTCATAAATCTACAATGGTCCACAGGGAGAAAAAGAAGGATCTCCCCCTTTATTTGACAGGTAAACAAAGTCACAGTCAAGAAAGAAATGGATTCGAACATACACCCAAAAAGCCTGGCACCCTGCATGTTCTCGCCTCTAAAGAAAGGGACCTTTTTGGCTATTCTATCTCACTGTCATTTTTCTTTAAACCAGCATTTACAGACTCTACTATGTGCCACGCACAAACTGATAGTGTCCCCATTTTGCTGATGAGGAGATGGAACCACCAAGAAGTTAAAGTAACTTACCCAAGACAACAGAGCTAGGAGGTGATAGACCGGGCATTTGAACCCAGGCACTTGGACTGCAGAACCCAGACCCTCAATAATTTTGCCTCCCCTGAGCGTAGCAAAAGAGAGTAATAATACTATGGAAGGAGCTAGAACTTGCTCAGAATCGAGGCCTCTGGGCCTGTGTTTTCCAAAGATCCTGCCAGTCCTTGGGATAGCATTGCAGCTTGTTGCCTAATTAGGCAAATACGAACAAACCCATCACTGATGTTTTCAGCAGCTCATGAGAGCGAAATCCTGCTGTTGATCGCTTGCAAGATAACAAAAACACATGCTCCAGCCAAGATGCCTGCAGGAGACCAGGGACTAATCAAAGACAGCGGGATTCAGAGGCTGGGCTGGAAGGGCTGGGGGCGGCGAGCCAGCTACATTGAGGGCAGCAGCGGGGAGAGGGCTGGGCAGGAACCCCTTTCCAGCCCCTCGTCCCGGCCCTGGGGAGAGCCAGCTTAACTTACCTGGGCTTCTTCCCAAAGCCCAGCAGAGGGCAGGAAGGGCGGGCAGGAGGGGAGGTGGTGCTCCCCGGGGGTACAGCCGACTGCCTTGTGAGCATCTCTGGCCAGGCCAGAACAGCTATGCCGGGCGGGGCCATTTGATTGCACGATGGGGACGATGCTAGCCATGAAGACATGAGCCTGAAGGGCTCGGCCACACAGGAAGCCCCCAAAATACATACTGGGAAGGATCCCAGCTGTCTCCCTGACAAGGAATGGGTGTCAGTGGCCCCTGTACGGCCCACCCTTGGAGAGGCCTGCCCCACCCTTAGCTTATGATGGGAAGGACCTTAGAGCTCCAATATTCTATCTAGGATAGAAATCTGCTCTGCAGTGTGCCTGACAGGTGATCACCAACCTGTGCTTGAATGCAGCTACTGATGGGGACCTCACTACCACCTCTGGCAGCCTAGATCTTTGCTGGACCTTCCAAATTATATTAAGAATATTCTAAAGTATTTCCGAATATTAATTCTGTCCACTGGTGCTAGTGCTGCCCTTGGGAACTACTTGAACACGTCTAAGCCACACTTAGAGACGGAAATATTTGGAGAGCTATTGCATGTCCCTCTGTCTCTCTGTTTCTGTCTCTCTCTCTCTCACTGGCTTAAGCCCTAGTCTTCTCTTTAAAAGGCCAGATAGGCCAACCCCCTCTTCCTACGGCACATTTCTGAGAACTCACACTGTCCTGGTGAAGGTCTTTTAAGAGGAACGGTTTGTAGCTGCCAGAGGGTGGGCGGGCCTCTGAAGAGAGAAGGGAAGAGAACAGGGAGGAAGGTCCCTGTAAGAGGCTGGTGGGGGTGGGGAGGAGGGGAGACAGAGCTCAGGTAAGGGGATGATGGGAAAGAGATCCTTCTGGGAGATACTAAGGAGGTCTAGAGCCCAAGGCCCGGGACAGGGGATCTGCCCAGCCTGGCCAGCCACGACTTACGTTGGCATTTATATTCACCCTACACAGCAGCAGGAAAGCTGATTAATGATTTATCATTCTCAAATTTTTATTTATCCATTATTCATCACCAGTAGTATAAGGGGCCCCACATTCCTAAGTGTCCTGAGTGCCTCGTAAGTGCTTAATCAGGCCCTGGGGTCTGAGGTGCGGAGAAGAAGTGACCAGAATAGGGCCCCTTATGGTTCAAAGTGGCCAGAGGATGCCAGCCACTGGTAGGGTGGGCCTTGATTTGCTCATCCTGAACAAAACTTTCCCCCCAAAGTCATTCTTGATTCTTTTCCAGAGATTTCTGTTTTCTTCCCTCTCTCTCTCTCTCTTACTCTGTCTGCTGAGAATCGCAGCCTGAGTCTCTCTGTCTCTCTGTGTGTCTCCTTATCAAAATGCATGTCTGCTTGGTAAATCACAGCGCTGAGCACACTGCTTACCAGAGTACTAACCCTGCTGTGTCTGCCCACGCTTAGCATTTCCATCTCTGCTCTCTCTGTCCTCTCTGATCATAGCTTCTCCAATATTCCTAAACCTACACACACACACACACACACACACACACACAGCCCAATATCCAGGGAAAGCTCTCGATTTTGTGCTCCTCACACCAAGGTCAAGGCCCTGAGCAGTCGCGCCACCCCCACCCCCGCCCCTATCCCCCAGCCTCCAAGACCAGCCCCTGCTCACGTGTCCCACTGCTGTGCCTGTTTGGTAGGAATGCCTCCCCGACCCTTGGCCCCACTCCACCCCCCACATGTGCACTGTATCCACAGGTTACCCACAGTACCTGGTGGTAGGGAACCACCTGTCAGGAGAGCACCACCTGAAGATCCTGCGGGCAGAGCTGCAAGATGACGCCGTGTACGAATGCCAAGCCATCCAAGCCGCCATAAGGTCCCGCCCCGCACGCCTCACCGTCCTGGGTAAGAGCCGTTGACACGTGGGGGGCGAGGATACTCCAGGAAGCACCATGCGCTCACTTCCAGAAGGGCCTCTCCGCTGGGCAAAGCCCAAAGGGGTTATCACACTGGGCTCTGGCCGCTGCTGCCCCACTGAGTCAGGACCCACCATCCCCCCAAAAAAGGGGAAAGTGAAAGTTCCCACCCTGGAAATCAGAAGGCCACTGCTAACCAACCTGTGACCCTGTCCAACCCCAGGGGGTTTGACTCCAGCTTACGGGGCTAAAAGGGGCTCCTGAATGCTTATTTATTCAATCAGGAAGCATATTCTGCACACATGATGGTTGTCAGGCCGTGTGCTAGGCGATGGAAATACAGAGAAGAATATGACACATCCTTGAGTCCGTGCTTTCTCCCACTAGGTGCTAACAAAGCATGATTTCAGCATCCCTAGGGACCACCGCTGCACCTGTTCCTTCCCCACCCTCCACCGCTCCCTGGGAACCCTGGCTCTCAGCTGGAGAACTGACTGCCTAAATCATCCCTAGGAAAATTCATTTTGGGCCCTTATGCCAAATCAGACCTTTGTCAGCCTTGGCCTTTCTTCTTCTTGGCTTCCCCAGAACCCATTGCCCCTGGGACACCCTGCCTGAGAGGTCCCCATTCCTTCACCCAGGCAGACCTGCCTGAAGACAAGGGAGTGAGCTCGGCCGCCTCTTAAACGGCCTCCTTCTGACTTCGAGGTCAGGCCCTGTCAACTCCCTCCTGCAGCCCAGCGGCTACTGAGGCCCAAGCCCCTGAGAACCCAGCCGCACACACAAGGTGTAATAGCAGACATGTGTGTGCACTTGACCGCCCCTCTCAAAGCACTTCCACTTACGTTACCTCCGCTCTTCTGATGCAAGACAGTGGGACAGGGATTGTTGCCCCGGATGAGAAACTGAGGCTTGGAGACGCCAAGGGCCCGGCCCCGGGGGTGGGGTGGGGGGGGTCTCCCAGCTAGGGCTCGGGCACCACCATGCTGCCTCCTCGGTGAGGCTCTGCCAGCCCCCGGTGGGACGGGGCCCAGGCAGCAGAGAGGGGAGCCCGCCCCCTAGCAGCTGCCGTGAGGCTCCGACCACAGGGTCAGCAGCTGGGGCGCTGCCTCCTCTCCTGGCGGATAAGGCGCGTGGCTGCTCCCTGATGAAATATTTAAGAGCGTGTCAGGTTAACTTCAGATCGACACGGCAACACACGGGGCACATCATCCCAAGCACGGCAGCAAGCCCCGGACGACCACTTACCGAGCTCGGGGCTTGGCTTCTCGAGACAGGAGGCAAAGCTAAGGGCTGACCCCAGAACCTCCCTCCACCCCGGCGTCTCCTCTAGCCTGTGATGAAGGAAAGAGAAAAGAAAGCGGGCCCGGCAGGGTAAATAAGCTGGGACAGCTCGGTCCAGAAGGGCCTGCAGAAGAGTGATCAGGGATATGAAAGGAAGAGGCAGACATCTTCATCTCTCCCGAGATGGTGGCTGAAGTGGGGATGGGGGTACAGTGTGGTGTGGAGGTGTGGAGAAGAGTAGGAGGATTTAGTGTCTGATATGTTTTCTGATTGTGTAACGCTGGAACACTTTTGGGCATCTCCAGAGATGATTCTGTTCCCCGTCCTCAAAATAATCTGCCTCCTGCAGCCTTGCTCCCCTTCTAGACGGTACCAAAGGATGCTAAGTTGAGGAGGACCCAAGCACTGCCCACTCCTGACTTCTCGCAGGACCTAGACTAGACAGAGATGCAGCTCGTCCTCAAGTTCTCGTCCTGCTGTCAGAGCTTTGCCCGGTGGCACCCAGCCATTCACAGGCTGCCTCCTCTCCTCTCTCAGGGACGTATCCAAGCCCAAATTACTCCAAATGTTGTACAGATGAGGAAATTGAGACTTGGAGAGCAAAGCCACTCATGGCTTAATTACCACTCAAAATAGACCCCAGATTTTCCAACTCCAAACCACTGCTGTCTGCGTCCCTAATACCAGCACAATCTCCTTTGTCTCGTTGCTTAAGGGCTGGGCTGCTGAGAGCGGGGCCACAGAGTCTCATCTGAACAGACTCGGTTCCTTCTTAGGTCACATCTAAAAGGCTACCCCACCACACCCATCTCCCCCTCCTGGGGCCAGACGTGGCACAGAGCTGGTTTGTGTGGGGAAAAGGCGTTACGAGTCTGGAAGGCAGTTGAAGAGGGGGAAGGAGGAGTTTCCAGGTGATCCCGACAAGCTAGCCTGCTGGATTCCCGAAAGCTGGGAAAAAGGGGCCTGAGCATATTCCAGCCACCTTTCCTGAAGACTCCACCGACACTATTCCTCCTAACAAACTAACCTCACGCAAGAAAGAGCTGCCCCAGACTGTGCCTCCAGCCCCTCCTGATCACCCTAGGTCCCACCCCTGAGCTGGTGCAGCAGGTGTCTCCCCCCAACCGCCCTTGGCGGGTCCGCAGGCCTCTGCCTGAGGCGCCCAGCCCGACGGAGTGTCTTTGCGGTGTACAGCCCCACCTACTGCCCTGGAGAGAGGCCCTGCGTGCAGAAGCTGACCCAGCCTTCTGGAAGGGGAGCTCTGGTCCGCTCACCGTGCTGAACAGACAGAGCGGCAGAGGGAAGAGGGGTGTTTCTACCCTGGCCAGCCAGCTTCCCAACCAAGACCCCATCTGCTTTGCGGTGACATCTCAGCCCGGGAAAATGTCCCAGCCAGGTCCCCAAGGGAGGGACTGCCTTCCCTGTGTTCCAGGAATGAGAGAGCTTCCTAATTTAGTCTGTATTTGCCTGAGATAGATTTTTAATTAAATAAAGTAAGAGCCTGATTAGAACCTGCGGAAGATGTGAGAGCAGAATCAGATGGTATTCCAGCAAAATTGCAAAGCAAAGACTTTGGCTAGAACAGAGGGAGACCCCTGGGGGTCTTTCATCAAAGCACCAAGTGAGGAGGGCAAATATGAGGGATTATATAGCCAACAGATGTGCATTGTTAAAATATGCATCTGTCAGCGTCCTGCTTGGAGAAGCCAGAGGGCCAGTTCACAGAGCCCATGGTGCTCCAGGGAGGGCATGGGGACCCAGCCCCAGCAGCCAAGCCTAGAGTCACAGACACATTAATTAGCCTAGTGTTTCCAGCTCTCAGATGCAATCAGGCAAGGAGCAACTGGGAGCTGAGCATTTGCTACCCTGGGAGGCAGAGGGAGGAAGCTAGGGGACCAGGAGAGCAAGAAGGGGAAGGGTCAGAGCCAGGTAAAGCCTCCGGGGCCCTGGTCCAGGATAACGGCCAGGCTGCATTCCCTCTGTGGCACAGAGGACCATGCCTTGACTCAGGCCAGGTCGAGACAGGCATCTTTCCACCTGCAGAACATCTCAAGAATCATGGTATCCCAGAGCAGCAGACTTGGAGGCAACAGTCAAGGTCCTGCCATTAACCATCTGTGTGATCTTGGCCCTGATACTCCACCTCTCTGGCTCTCAGTTTCCTCATCTGTAACATGAAGGTGGTGATAAATAAGATGGTCATTAAGTACTGTCGGGCTCCCAAAACGCCGTGACTTCTACAATAAGGAGTCCAACTTGCGTCACCAAGTAGTTGAGGAACATGGCCCATCCCCCACTGGAACCAGAATCCCCTTGGGACTGAGGCACAAAAGGTAACAGAGTGTTTTGTGCAGCATCCTACTTTGAGTCTGGAGAGGGGACCTCTCACAATCCTGCCCAGCCCTGGGATTCTGGACTTGGCTGTACATTTTAACCCCAGAGTCCTCCCTCTGTCTGCAGCTTCTATGCATTCCAAGCTATGTCTGTGGGGACTCAGCTTAGCAGGACATAATAGGACCCCCGTGCACATGAGCAGAGCTGGGGTGTAGCAGGAAGAGTCAGGGGCTGGCTGCAGAACCCCTACATGCAGGTCACTCATTGTGTGACCTTGAGCAAGGTCCTTAGCGCTCCCCCCACCCCCCGGGGTCTCTGGTTCAACTCTCTATAACCAACATTTAGTATAGAGTAGGCCCTCAATACTATCTGGGTTTTTTTAAACAAATGAATGAATGAGTGAGTGAATGAATGGATTTTCTCATTCCTCATCTATAAAATGAGGATAATAAAAATCCAAATCTCCCAGAACTGTTGTGAGCACCAAACAAACACCGCCCCCCACTCTAATGTGCCATACACTTTAAAGTTACATCCATACGCACATACATGCAGACCATATCCTTCTCACACCTGCAGGGACCCAGGGTTGACAAATATCTCTACTGCTCCAGGGCTAGAGCTGTAAGGACGATATTGCATTTGATCTTGCTAAGTGCCTGAAAATTTGAGAAGCGAGGAGTTGGAGGATCCGGAGCAGGGAGGAAATGGAAGCCGAGGTTTTGATCAAGAACTATTTCCTGAACAGCTACTAGGTGCCAAGCACGGAGCTAGGCAAGCAAGGTTCATCGGTCAGTGAAAGGGAAAACCAGCCCTGCCATGGTGAGCCTGTGTTCTGGCAGAGAGTGAGCCAGTCAATCAGTAGTAAACAGATTAAACAAGCACTTTGTGTGGGTCCGGAGGATGTCAGATGATAACAACCGCTGGGAAACAGAAAAACTAGAGCAGACTGAGGGGGATTGGAAGTAGGCGGGGGGGGGGGGGGGGGTTGGATGGCGGGTTAATTATTAAGAAGGGAGTTTTCCCAGTCTTCCTCCCATTTCCCTCATCTTCCTGGCCCGTTCTAATATTAACTCTGCTGTCTTGTGGCTCCCATTAGAAACAAAGCTTTCTAAATCAACATGAATTATTTAATGATGGAGACTAAGTCAATTCAAATAAAGAGGGCATCTTTAAAATGATGTCAAGCTCCAGACAATGAGGGGGCAAACAGAGAAGGTCTGGATGGGTCCTTGAGTTTTCAGAGCCACGAGTCCCCTCTGCATCTCTCCACCAGGGCACCTGTGGGGCCCGGGCCCCCTAAATATCCGGCACTGGCAGCACCCCCCAATTCCCAATCCTCATCTTCTGGAGGGGAGGGGCGTGCGGGTCCAGCAAGGGAAGACAGAGCTGAAACACAGCCCAGGAGCACTGGTTTCTAAAATGGCTGTTCCAGAAACTGGTGGCAAGAAACCCAGCCACAGTCTCCCTGTCAGTAAGGGACAGACCGACCTGTTCTTCAGGGGTGAGAAAGCACCCCACAGAACAAAGCCCAGCCCCCGCCCCAGGCTTGCCCTCTGCTTTCCCTCCAGCCCCTGCTCCAGCACCCGCTTGCTTTGCTCTGGGGACAACAACCAGCTCGCAGCTCCCTCCACTGCCCACACTTCATGCCTTCGCATCTGTGTGTTGCTACCTGGAATGTCCTTCCCTCCTTTCTTCCCTTGGCCAACTCTTGCTCCCCTGTCAGGATCCATCTTGGACATCACCTCCTCCAGGAAGCCTTCCCTGAACGCCATATGGCCTGGCTGTCCCCTCTGTGCTCCCTTTGCCTTCCATCCACACCTCAGTCACAACACTCAACACATGATCTTGAAAGTAACCGTTTCCCTGTCTGTCTCCCCCAGAGACCCACCTGCCTAGGATAGCCTGCAGGCACGTACTGGGTGCTCAGTAATGCTCATCATATAACTGTAGCAACAGGGCTTGGAGCAAACTGGGGGGAGTTTGCACTGCACCTCACCACGGAGAACAGCGCCTGGCAGATACTGAACCCCACAGCTGTGTCATATTGTGCCGTGATGTGTTGTGT